TTTTTTTTATTTGTGGGCAAATTTAAGATGTTTGTAGACCTAGGAATTACTCTCAGCTGCAGGATTTAACGCGATCTTGATCATACCCATTTGATGGATTTATTTTTTTAGATCTGGTTTTATGAGATTATGTGTAACCCTGTGATATGCGTGTTGTCATAAGCTGGGTACTGTATCCAGGCTATAGTAAATAGTAATATTTATTCTTTTCTTCGATTTAAACATCCATGTAAACAGAATGTTCTTTCTAGTAGTTTCATACCATATTTTTTGTACTAAAGGTTCTTTTGCTCAAAGTTTTTTTTTCCATTAATCATCTAACAGCATTAACGCGCTCCATCTCACTGCATTTGCTAAATTAGTCGAAATCTTTTTTTTTATTGTTGTGGTACGATGGCCTACAGTAACTGCTATATTATGAAGCAGCAAATTTGAGAGTGAAAATTTTAAGTTTCTAATATTTCTCCTTTTCTACGACTTCGTCCCCTTTGATAGGAGCTTTTCTTTGAGAACGTGCCTGCAGTAACCTCGCAAAGTGCCTTAGAGGCTTTAGGAACCATTTGAGAACTAACTCATACAGGCTTTTCCTATCTAATTGTATCTAGTTTATTTGCTTCTTTTATCAACATCATGTAATTAGAAATTCATTGTGATATCAGCTTTTACATTATTTTCTAAATGGTTCAGCTTCAGTACTGCCCTTCTGTCAACCGGGTAGGTTGTCAACGCTGGAGCTAAGCCTTGTTTTGTAGTGTATCGTTTAAGTCTTGTCTTCCACTACTTCCTGCAATCAGCATTAATTTCCTTGAAGAAAAACTCTTTGGCTTCTTTTCCTGTTCATATCTCGACCACTTTAAAAATCCCTAAGTCGATCTAGATGAATTCTTCCTAACGAGTTAACGTTTTTAGAAGGAATTCTGCAACAAATACTATCTGGCCACTCATCGTGCAGCAAAACACGGGCATCCGACGAATAGCAACACCAGCCATATGCTTTCCTCTCAGTCGGGTGTGGATCTCTCAGCTTTGGGCCGTTCGGCCGATTCAGGACCGAGCATGGATATACAACAGCTGATGATGGGGCTGGATCAGGTACGGACCACACATACTACCCATCTATCACACCACCAGCATTTTTTTGGCATACGGTAGTCGTATTTTTTCTGCAGTCTGCACTGTCTGGAAACAACGCGCTTCGTAGTCTCTACCTCAGCCAGATGGGCATGGGCGGTGGAAGTCCATCACCGTCAAGCTTGCCGTCATCAGGATCGGCATCTATTACGGGAGGAACTCAGGATGTTGGGCCGGAACCGTCACCGAAGGTATATAACCTGGTTGTAAGTATGAACTAACTCTTTAGTACATCAAACCATTGTAACCCTAAATTATTATTTGGGTCATGGTAACAAATAGATAGTTCTTGTTCAAATTAATAATTACAGGCGGTCACCCCCACTTCACAAGCAGACACTAATACCTCAGGACTACCTAGCTGGTTCTCCGGACTTCTTCCGCCGCAGATGCAGCAGCAGGGGTAAACTACAGAGTCATAACTGCGAAACGGACAATTCCAATAGTTACTTTAGAATGCCCGGCAATATGAATGCTCTTTTGGAACAGATGCAAGCGATGCAGAATCTACAGCTTCTTGGTGGTAACCTTGGTGGAAATATGGGAGCTATCGCAGCCGCCTTGGCTCAGAATCCCACCGCAGCCGCCGCGTTCCTTGCCACCACGCCGAGCAAG